AGCCACTGTATAATCTGTATTATGAGAAAAAAATTCCAAAATTATACACACACACACACACACACACACATATATATATAATGTATAGTATAGCCCTACGCTGGAGGTCAAAGTACCGTCAGAGAAGCCAGAGGAGGGGTGTGTGTGGGGGTGTCCTGTGTGCTGTCTCTTCCAGGGGGCTGGACGGCTGCTCCGGGCCCCGGGATCCTGCCTCACTGGCCGCTGTCCAGCCAAATCTGCTTGCTCTTGAACACTGCTGTCTCTGGGGACAGAGAGAAAGTTCCGGAGCAGGGAGGGGGATGCTGAGGCTGAAACTGCTGCTTAGGGAGCTGCAGCAGCCCCCCACCCCGCCCCATGTCTCCTCTGAGGTTCCTTTCCCGTCTGATTGTCTAGCTCAGGGTGGGAATCTGGGCTCAGAACTCGGCCAGAACCGGGGTTCTAGACCTGGGCACGGGGCACCCCGGACCCCTGCCCCAGTCAAATAGGGCCAGGTCAGCTTGACCTCTCCACACCACCCTCTCCACCCAGATTGGGGTCCGGTGCCCCCCCCATCCAAAGAGAGGGATGGGGGCAATTTGCATATATTGGGGCGGTCTCCTTAGTCTTTTCCACATCAAGGGCTGGACCCCAAGGTCAGGCTGGGGGACTCCGTATGGGATGGACAATGGGCCAGTGGGCCGCAGGTCTGAGATGTCAGTTTCATCTATGTTGAAAAACACCACCACCACCACCCAGCCCCCTGCCCGCCGCCCTCCCCGGGCATCGACCCAAACTGCAAAGGCAGGTGAGCCGGCCGGTTCCTAGTGTTTCTGCCTTATCCTGACGCACAGCGGGGGGTGAGGAAGGGTGGAGCTCTGGGGCCCGGGGTGCTGTGGAGTGCGGGCTGTGAGGGACAAGGTGGTCCCGGTGAAGCCCTTGGGGGAGGGGTCCTGCAGGGACGGGCCACCCACTCCCTGTGCCACTGGCTGCTCCCACTTCCCTGGAGCAGGCACAGAATGAAAACAAGAAATCAGCCCCCACGGAAACTGACAAGCATGGCCTTGGGCTCTCAGGCCAAAGGGCAGTTCTCAAGGGCAGTGTCAAGGCCCAGCTGAGGCCGTGTCTGGGCTCTCGCTCTGGCCCCTGGGGCTTGCTGAGGTGACTTTTCGAAAGAAAACATGACATGAGCGTATGGTGGTGGATGAAAGCCCGGGCCTGTCTGCAAGGCCCCAACCGGCTCTGGAGACAATTCTAAAGTCTGAGGTGGTGGCCGGGGAATGAATGGGGACTGCCTGCCTGGTGGATCCCCAGAGGAGATGTCTGAGGGGCCCGGGGATGGCCAGCCAGAGGTGGCAAGGTTGGAGGACCCGGCCCTTTGGTCCTCCTGCCTGGACACCCCACTAACTGCTACCGTCTCAGCTTTGGTTGAGTGAAAGGCAAAGGAAATTGGGGGAAAAAAGAGAGAAAGAGAGAGAGAGAAAGGAAGGAAGGAAAATACGAGAAAATAAAACCGAGAAGACAACAGCACAGCCAGCCCCCTGACCACCCCTGCCAGGGCCTGGGACGCTGTGCCCCTGGCTGCCCCTGCCCCCTGGCCCCCCGGCCGGGCCTCCGACGACTGAACTAGACCTACAAGTACAGACAGACAAATATTGCATATATTGGGTCCGGTTTTTGTCTTTTTGTTTCACACCAGACCCCCCTCCACAGTTACAGCTGGAAGACGTAGCAGAACTGGGTGGGAGAGCAGGAGGGTCCTTCCTGCCACCCAAGGCCAGTCTCCAGGGGTGGGGTGAGGTGGGTCCTTTGGCAAGAAGGCGGGGGGCTGCACAGGGGGAGAAGGGGCTGGGGGCAGGACAGCGATTTGACCCTGAGCCAGGGGGACGCCAGCCTGCGGGAGAGGTGGGACGGGGGCAGTCTGGCTGTCGGCAGGTCGGCCGCCCCACGGGCGGACCGCATGGGTCGCGGGTGCATGCGTGGCATCTGGGGTGCTGGCCTGTGGCCCAGTGAGGGGAGAAGCCCTTGCCCGGTGTCAGGGGACACCCCTGAGGTCTGTCCGCCAGCCTCTGTGGGCAGGGGATTCGGAAACAACCCCTCTGGAGACCGAGAGTGGGGCTGGGGGGCGTCGCAGAGCACCAGGGAGCACCCCCAATGCAGCAGGAGACGTGGAGACGCGGCCAAGGGTGGGCTGGGGGTAGGGCCAACCGTGGGGCGATTGTTCCGTGGATTGCTTATTTTTCAGCAATGTGATTTTTAAGCATGTGATTTTTTTTTTTAGCAATGTGATTTTTTTTAATTCTTAATTTTTTTTTTACAAATAGAAATACATCCCTTTTCAATTTTTACTTTTTATTTCATGTCATTGCTTTGTCTTTTTTTTTTTTTAACTACACGAGCGGTGCATGCAGCTATCTGTGTGCGCTCATATTGTTTAAAGGTAATACTTATTTTTGGAAGGCAAGGCACATCATGTGGTAGAAAATTTCGTGCAAATTAGGAAACATGGAATTTTTTTTTAAGGTTTTTTTTTTTGTATCTTTTTTTTTTTCTCATTTCATTTCGACATGAAGTTGTTTCCCTCTTTCTGTTTCTCTACTTTGCCTCACGGAGGATTTCTGAGAAATGAAAAAAGTCACCTCCCACAGTCTCAGTCTGCAGTTTTGTTTTTTGGGTTTGGTTTTTTTTTTTTTTTTTTTTTTTTTTTGGAAAGGGGGGGGGGGGGGGGGGGGGGGGGGGGGGGGGGGGGGGGGAGGGAGATAGAGCCAGTATCATTCGCCATGCAGTTTCAGCCGCCGCGAGCTGACGTCAGGAGCCAGGTCACAGGAATCCTCGACTAAGCACCATGCAAAGTTAGGTAGCTGGGGGCTGCCAGGTGCCCCCTCCCCTCCCCCACCTACCCGCACCCTAAGGTTCCCGGCTGAGAAGCTTCCGGATACCCCAACTACACAACCCCCTGCTCTCCTGGAGAGCGGCCCACGCTTTGGTCCCCAACAGCCACCCGGTGGAGGGGCCCTGGGGACAGAGGGACGGACCAAGGGTTCTTGAACCCCTCCGGACTGCGGGAGTGGGGCTGGTGGGGAAGGGTCTGCGGGGGAGGGGTCGTTTCTCTTTGTGATCGAGTGGGTTCGCCAAGCCCCTTGGGCTGGTTTGGGAGGAGGAAAGTCTGGTGTCTGGGGAGGTGGGGGGAGGCTGGCCGGGCCCAGGGCACCGGGGTTTCACCGGGAGAGGGAGGGGAGGGCCAGGCTGGGAGCAGGTGAAGCGGAGGCCTGCCCAGGGCCATGGCTTAGGCCTGGGCCCGGGGATGGAGGTCAGGATTCCCCAGCGCCAGGCATGGAGGAGGCCAGTTGGGGCTCAGACGGATAGGCCGGGAGGGGTCCTTGTGTTTGGGCCTGGTGACCCTAGAACACCTAACACCCCCTCCCAGGCTCCCCACCCAAGATGGCCATCCCGGGGTGGAGGCATGGTTGGGGCCGGGCAGCTGGGGTGAGGGGGCACCCGGTGGCCCCAGGTTTAGTGTTTTTGGAGCGGCTCAACGGAAAATGTTTAGCAGATGGGAGGCCCCCTACAAGGCTGCAGGAAGCTCCGAGGCGCTGACCCTCCCTGCCCCCAGCCAGAGCCCCCTGCCCTGTCCAGGCACACGTGGACTGCACCCAGCCTGGCCTTCTCTCCTTCTGGCAGCCCAGCTGCGATGCACCTCCCGGCTGTGCCCCACTTCGGCGAGGGGTGGGGGGGGGATGAAAGTGCAAACCGTGGTCCCCCTTTGGGCCGGGAGGCACCAGGGAGGGGGTGTCGCTCCAGGATGTAAGGCACTGGCAGAGGAGGCGTTGGCAGGGGGCACACCGCCTTCCCCAGATCCCACCCCCGTGCCCCAGCACGGCAGGACGCTGGGGGGATGCCCAGCTCTGCCCCTTGGGCCCACTGGGCGGGTTCCCATCGCTCTAGCTCTGAGGGGGGCATAGCAATGAGGGGTCAGCAACTGGAGGGGCCGGGTTACGGGGGAGGAGGCTGGAGGATGCCCACAGCCACTCGCTTCCCAGCTGGACAAAGGGGAGGGTGGGGCGGGCGGTGGGAATCAGGCACTTAAACCACTCGCTCTCACCTCCCACACCTCCATGGGCTAAGCGGGGTGGTGGGGTCCTCCCCATTCAGGGTTTGGGTGGATGGAGAGTCCAGAGCAGCCCCGGGCCCCTCCGCTCCACCGCCCCCAGCCCCCTCCTCGGAAAGTGCATTTCTTACAGTGTGTGCAACGCGGGGCCCTCCCCCGGGGGCTGGGGTGCGCTAGGGTGGCCTCCTATGCCTGGGGGCGGGGGGTGGGCTGGGGGTCATTTGCATAGAGATGTCTCCCAAACCGGGCCGGCGCGCGCAGGGCTTCACCAAAGACCGAGTCCCCGGCGCGCTCTGGGCGGGGGCAGAGACGTCCACAACCGCGGGGCACTCCTGAGAGAGTATTGGCCATGCGTCCTTGTCCCCCGGCGACGCCCGGGGTCTCCCCGCAACCCTCTTCTGCCCCTGTCGCACCCCTGCCCACCCCAGCCTCCGCGGTGGCCTCTGCTGCCTGCCGCCGGGGTCCTCGCCGGCCCCCCGGGGGCTGCCTCCCCACTTGGCAAACACTGTCCCGGTGGCAGTGGCGATGGGGGCGCGCGGGAGAGGCGGCCTTGCTGGGTGTCCTGCCCCGTCGGCTGGGCACGGGCACCAGGCTGCGCTCACCTGGTCCAGGGCGGAGGTGGGGGCAGCCGGCCCTCCCAGAGCAGCAGCGAGAGGAGATGAATAACTTAGGACGCCCCGAGCGCCCGCTCCCAGGGGCAGTGGGGCCTGGCCCTCCAGTCCGGTCCGTCCGGCCGCGGCATCCCGAGAGTCAGAAGCGTTGCCATCTTTTCCTTTTATCTTCTTGGTTGGGTGGGTTTATTTTTATGTGTGGTTTTCTTTTGTTTTTGTTTTTTTTCCCGTTTGTCTTTTTTTTTTTTTTTTTTCCTTTTTTTTTTTTTTTTTTTTTTTTTTTTCTCCTTTTTTTTTTTTTTTCTTTTTTCTTTTCCTCCTGTGTGTTATGTGTCTGTGTGTTTTGTCTTTCGGCCGGGCTGGGAGTCAGCGGGGTGTTCTTGCTTGCTCTAGCTTGCCACCGAAAACGTGGGCTGGGGGCCGGCTGTATGGCTCCCCGCGATTCCCGGGACGAAGGAGCAGGGCGTGGGAAGAAATCTTTCTTATCCCAGATACCAGGACTGGGTGGCCCGAGGGGGACACAGAGAAAGAGAAAGAGAGAGAAGGAGAGAGATGGGGGGGTCAGGCTCCGCCAGCCACTGCCCATACCCACTGAGGCCCCCCTACCCCCTGGGACCTGGGACCTCTGTCTCCCCTATCCCAGACCTGGCATAACCTGCTGGGTTACCCTGGGCAAGTGACTTTGCCCCTAAGCAGAGCTGCTAGATAAACCTCAGGATGTACAGTGAAATCTGAATTCTAGATAAACTATGGATAAACCTGTTAATATAAGTCCATCTCATGCAACTTTTGGGATATACTTAAGCTAAAAAAAATTATTTTGTTTAAATCCTTTATCTGGAATTGAAATCTACCCGAGCATTCTGTGGTTTTGTTTGCTAAATCCGGCAACCTCACCCCCGCACCTCATTGCCCTGAGTATAAAATAGGGGAGGGGATCTGCCCACCTTGTCCTCAGAGGGTGACATTTTCCCATTTAACGGTTCCCCCAGAACCCCCATGAAAGAGGGACTACTGCCCCCCGACCCCGTTTTGCAGTGAAGAAAACCGGGGCTCAGAGAGGTAAAGTAACTTGCCCAAGTCCACCAGCGTGGGAGGGGAGAAGCCAGAATTCGAACTCAGGCCTGAGAGGCCTCAGTCCTCGCCTGTCCCCCTGCCTGGGGCTGACCCCTTAGCCTGGTCTTTGAGGGGGGTCATGACTCCTACTTTCCAGAGGGGGAGACTGAGGCTCCGGGTCAGGTGGCCAGGTCTGCACGGACAGCTCTGGCCTGGGTCTCCACAGGGAAGCCGCTGTACAGACCCTTCCCCTGGAAATGCATCCAATTTGCCTGTGTGGGGTGGGCCTGGGGGTAGGTAACCCCCATCCCCACCCCGCTGGGGTCACAGCAGCGCTGCTCCTCCGCCCCCTGCTGTAAATCAATCGCACCCCCTCCAACCAGGCCACCCTGCAGCCCCTGGGCCATCCCACCGAACTGGCGCCATGGCTCCCAGCCCCCCACCTCCAGCCAAGTTCAAGTTCATCTTGGCCATTACCTCATGTCTGGTTTCCGTTGGCAACCAGACAGATTCTGGGCGTGACCCTCCCTGGTGGTGGCTGGCCTCCCCTAGGCCCTTCCTGCCTCCTCCCCTCCTAGGCTCTCTGCCCATAGCAGTGGGGGGGGGGGCACCCTCAACTCAACATGGTCCCCCATCAGCTGCGGGGGAGACAGAGGCCACGTGGTGCCAGTAGTGAGTTCTGGGCTCTTCTGGCATCCCCCTGGCCTGGCTGGAGCCACCAGTGTGGCTTTGGGCATGTGGCTTAAATTCCTCTGGCCCTCGGTTTGCTCATCTGCTGAATGGGCGTGATGTGCAGAGCTTCTGGTGTAAAATGCTCGGCCGGGTGGACCCCTTCACACAGCGGAGGGGGCGGGGGTGTCAGAGTCCACAAGAGCCCCACTCCGCAGACCAAAGTGATGGATGGCTCAGGACTGGGGGGACTGATGGTGAGAGACGGGGGTGGAGGGGATGCAGAAGATGGGCAATTGATCAGGGAGAGATCAACGGACATCGATTGGGGGAGGGGCGCTGATTGAGGGCAGAGGCTATTGATCAGGGGGCAAGGCACTGACTGTGGGGAGGGCAGGAGATGCAAGGGCAGGTGGTGCGGGGAGAGGAGCCGCTGCA